ATGTTTGGTTATATCAACCATTTTATCTGAAATAGGAATAAAATAGTTTGTGTTTTTTTGAATATAAGAAAATTGATATGTCTTGTTCAGATTTTATTTTTGCAAATAGACTAGAATAATAATGGAATTATTTTAGCTTTATTAACAATTCAAAAAAAGATTAAGTTAATAAACATCGCAATAAAAAGGTAATGCTAAGATTCTATCAAAATATTGATTTAGTAAATTTTTGTATATAACTGATTTATTTCTTTTCAGTTATGTAAATCTGATCAAAAAATAAAGCCTATGTTTTTTATTTCTCAATCTATAAATTATATTTCACATAAGCCAACCTCCTTCAAAACAATAGAAGAACTTCGAGAAAAAAATTTATGTTTCAATATTCGACACTATTCCAGAGTTATCAAGTATAGAAAATAACGATGCATTATTAATGTTGTGCTTTCTACTTATTTATAGCTTTTTTCGTCTAATAAATAAAAAAAGTATGTGCCTAAAGAAAGAAAAAGAAAATACCTTCAATGTCCAAATAAATTAAATAAAAACATCTAATGAAAGCAAATTTCGAGGTACAAGACAACACCACATCATTCAAAGATTCTATTCTATTAAATTTAATAAAATATCGAAATCATGATAGAGTCAAAAAACTTGGATGAATTATAACAGAATAAATACAGATTTTATTTAGTGTCACCTTTACTCAAATGACCAAAAAATTATATAATAATGGAATTATATTCAAATACTATCCTAAAAAATAAATAAAAACGACTTGATACATGATCTAAATCCTTCGTCAGTAGTATATAATACTGCAATTATGAAAATTCAACTGTAATTCTATATAATTCAGGAAGTTAAATATCTCAATTACTTACAAATATATAGAATTTCTAAAAATATATTTGGTTCTCTACAATATAATCAAAAAAGTAAAAATGGAATAGTAGCTTCTATTTTGTCTTGGTTCTCTTTTTGGTGAAATTTTAATCGTAGCTGACACGTCGATTTTTTTCATTCTTCGAAATAGTTTTCCGAGCATTTATTCTTAGTTGACAAAAAAAGAAATTCTTCAATTAAGGCATAGCCAACAAATCAAATTCACATAAAGCATTAATCGATTCTTCATCTAACTCAAAAATTTCCATAAGAATAAAAAGTAAATTAAAATAGACATATAGAATTGAACATAAATCTATTTATTCATATGTGACATAATAGTCATCAAAAAAAAAAAAAGACAAGTCTACTATCGACTTCACAGATTTTTTTTATTATACATAATAAATTTTATTTTAATCTACAATTGAGACAAATAAATTAAATTAAAATAAAATAAATAATAAAATTACTTACATATTAACAAAATTAGATGTATAATTCCATTGAATAAAGCCAATCACTCATATACTTTTTTGAATTATTTATGCTCCATTAAAATAATATAGGCTACACACAAGTGTTGTTCATTACGCCTAAAAAAATCTGATGAACAAATCAATGAACCTAAAAAAAACCAGACTTTTAAATAATAGTATTAATCGAATATTTGTAATTTCCTTACCTAAAAACCTTAATGCTCAATTGATTTCAACAATACAAAAAAAAAAAGAAAACAATAAAAAGCTAATAGTCATCTTCATATTTTTGTTAAATAATTAAAAACAAATATGATTATTCATATTCGAAATAATTTCGTTCAATTCATTGACTGTAATTCATCAATAGATAAATATTTGTTTGAATGCATGTCTTATTTTTTGGTTAAAACAAAGAAGAAAAGAAGAGAACCAATAGGTTAAAAAGACAGGATGAAACACCACTCTCATCTGACACGAATGAGATCGTGAATCATCAAATACTGCACATAAAAAATAAGAAGATCGAAGGGTACTTGTCATCCAAACAACAAGAATGAGAAAAAACAAACCATAGTCACATCACAAAAAAAAAGATAGATAAAACGTACATCACATATACATATAATATATATATATACACATATAAAAAGACATAGACTTACATCGGAATGATATCCAAATAGGAAAAGTGAAAAACAAAAATTTTATCGGTATTTTTACTTTTCTCAGAACAGACAACATAATAATAATAATGACTACAGAAAACTTCTTTTTTTTTTTTGGTTTACACAAGACGAACAGACGACATAGAAAAATGAATACACAAGGGAAACATCGAATGGAAATAATATTTATTTATTCGTTTATTGTTTTCAATTTTCAGATCTTTATTTTAACATTGACATTGATTTCCTTTAGCTTGTGAATCATTAGCTGTAAGTCTTGTAGTTCCTTTATTATATCCACCTCCTGAACTTCCATATGCATTAGTTCCTTGACCGGTACCACTTGTATCTTCTGGTGTATCGGACATTTTTTCCAATATAATATCAACCAATCTAGAAAAAACACAGAATTTTTCAATATGAAACTAATGTTCTTTTCGTTTGTTTTTATTTTTACCTCTCGAAAACAACTTTGACATTTACATTTTCTTTTGCCGAAGTTTCGAAAAATTCCAAACCTAAAGAGAAAAAAATCAATAGTACAATTATAACAATCATAAAAAAAAAAGAGCAATAATAAGCAAAGAGCCATGTTTTTCTCAAATATAAGTACCGAGGTCACTGGCAAGTTTTTCTCCTTTTGCCGTCTGAACAACTCTTTCATCTGCCATGTCACATTTATTTCCAACAAGTATCACCGGGCTTTTCTCCCATGAATGTGTCTTTATCTGTAAAACCCTTTAAAACACAACACAATACAAAACATGCAATATCGCCCGAACAAACAGAAAATAAACAACTATAAAGCGTACATCCAACATATACATATATATATCTATATATTTATTAGAACTTTACCCAATTGATCAGCAAGTCGTTGACCACGTTCTTGTGTAACAGCACGATCATGTTCTAAATCGCATTTATTACCAACTAAAACAACTTGAGCATTATCCCATGAATACATTTTTATTTGTGTACACCTGAAAATAATAGGTCTTTTTTTCTTTGGATGTACGCTTTTTTTTTTTACATAATTTCTTTTTTTGTCTAAATAAGACAAAATAATTGTTGACTTTTTCTTTTTTATACGTACCAATCTTGGACAGCATTAAATGATTCTTCATTAGTGATGTCATACATTAAAATAAAACCCATGGCACCACGATAATAAGCAGCTATTAAAAAAAAGAAAAAGAAAGAATATATTTATTTTGTTTTTTTTTTTTCGATTAAATCTCAAGAGACTGATTGAAAACTCTTCTAAAATGTTTGAATTATCTCGTGAGAATTAAAAAAAAAAAAATAAATAAATAAAAAATAAAACTTCATTAATCTTATTTACTTGTAATTGTACGATAACGTTCTTGTCCAGCTGTATCCCATATTTGTAATTTAACACGTTTATCATGACGAAATACTGTTTTAACCTTAAAATCAATACCGACTGTACTAACAAATGCTGATGTAAATGAATCGTCTGCATATCGAAAAAGCTAAAAGAAATATATAGAAAGATTTATTTTTTTCTTTTTTTGCAAATATAATTATTAATAATAATATAAATAAATCTAACATACAAAAGATGTTTTTCCTACGGATGAATTTCCAATAATAAGTAATTTGAACATATAATCAAAATTCTGATCAGCTGCATCTTTTGCTGCTCCACTAGTACTGTTCTGTGTCATCTAGAAAATAAGAAATATTCTATATTTATTTCATAATGTAGAAATAATAATATTAGATAAGAAAATTCAAGGACAATCAATAGAGCTCAGACAAGATGATGATTGTTAGATATGATGACGTCGCTACATATGCATGTCGTTTTTTTTCTGTGTTTTCTTTTTTTTCTATTACAAATTTGATTGGATGCGGTTTTGACTCCTCGAATTATAAGATGCTAATGCATTTTGACGACTTAACTGTATTTTTCTTTGCACAAAAATATTTGAATTACTTAAGGATTAGAAATTGAAATAATATAAGAAAAAAAAAAGAGTATTAACAATTATGAAAACAAACATTGATTATGACATCTGTATTAATTAGAAGACAAAACACGAAAAGCAATTTTTCTTACTTGTTAAATATATCAAATGATTGTTGTAAAAGAAAGAAAAACGACTTGAATAAATATATGAAATCTATAATTCAAGTGTGTACACATTTGCCTTCTAGATGTTTGTACACTATCAATAAAATAAAAATGTTTCATCATAGTTGAGAAATCCAATGATAGAGTAGAATATATTTATGGGAGGAGACAAAGCAATTTACTGCCTTAGTGCTTTTTCTATGGTGGTGTTGCAGCTGGTGTCAAGAGATGCTTATATTAGTGATGATGATGATGATGATGTCTGTGATAATATGTCATCAATTCTTCGAGCATAAAACTCATTTTACTCTGTTGATTTCGATCTAAACAATTCATAATATTCTTATCGATACCTTTCAACGCAACAAACTAAACACATAACTGTGTCATTAAAAGTGACAGGATAATTAAATGCACCTATTATACAACGAATAAATGCTTGACATAAAGAATAATGCAAAAAAAAACCAGAAAAGTGTCACATATGTTTAGAATACTACTTTCTAATGAAATCATCAATGAAATATGACAAAAATAATAAACATTGATTTTTCAATGGATAGATTTCTTTTTCTTTTCAATTTTTATTCGGCATTCACTCAAAAAAAAAATTCTATCTGTACACACGCATAGAAGAACAAAAACAAAACAAAAAACGACAAGCAGATTCACAAGCAGCAAAGACAAAAAAAAACACATCAGTTTTGTATACAAATAACAAAAGCAAAATGTTTGATCAGACGAATCGATTAACAATGTATCTGAATATTTCCTAATATATAAATGATAACAGAAGATAAGATATTAAAAACACACATAATAACAATGACAAAAAAAAACAAGAAAAACAAAGAAGAACACAAGCTTTTATAATTCGGTTGTGATTGGATGATATGATGGAATCACACCAACAGATGGTGATGATGAACTACGATTTGCAGTACGAGGATAAAGATGTGGTAATGGAACTGATAATGATGATGATGTTGTTGTTTGACAATTAGTTGGTGTTGTTTGAACAATGGTTGATGATGCATTACGAACATTTGATGTACTTAATGTACGTGTTACAATAACAGGAGCAGGAGAATTTAAAGAATCTATTTAAATATAAACGAATAGAATAAATATATAAATAATAAAATATAAATTTATACTTTGATTATTAGTTAAATTCGAATTTACTGTCGTTGATTCTGTGTAAAAGTAAGTCTCCTAAACAGAAAAAAAAAAAAAGAAAATTTCTTTTCATTTTATTTGTCATAAACTAAAGTTAAACTCATGCAATTTCTTTTTTTTAAATAAAGATTCTCACTTCATGCCACGACAAATATGAATTTACTTACGTTGTTTATTATCAGTAAAAACAATATTTTTTGTATTAGCAAAATAATCTTTACATGAAGAAATTTTTCCTTTTCTAGAAGTTTTTTTAGTTAAATATGATAGATTATCATAATTAGCATAACGATTTTCAGATTGTTTTTCTTTAGGATTATAATCTATATGTGCATAGATTAGATTTGAATCTGTTTTAGAATTTATACAATAATTTAATATATTATCATATGATGAATAGGATATTAAGTCAGATATAATAGGAAATTTTTCATGTAAAGATATTCTACTAGTTTGCTATTAGAAAAGAAAAGAAATTTTTTTTAGTTTTCTATTTCTTTATTTTTCATTGACAGAAAAGAATTTTCAATATTATAATACCTTGAGAACATATGGTGATTGACTATTTCCTAATGTATATCGATTAAGTGGACTGTTCACTTTGCCAGTAGGTGAAGAAATAGATGAATTAGTTGGTCTTGAATAAAAACAAAAATATTTAAAATTTATTATATATTGTATTTATTTACAAAGTAGATGTTTTTTGTGGTGACATTTGAATTAATAATGATTGATCATTGTTATCATGTGCTGATTCTATATATAAATATAACATTTAAGAAATTTTTTTTTTCAATTGATAAATTTATTATTAGAATTATCAAACCTTTTGTTGTATTGATATTGTTATTATCATTTATCGAAGAAGTAATTGTATTTGATGATTTCATAAGGGTCAATGGCGCTGGTGATGGTGATGTTATTGGTTTATCATCAGATTTTGTTTGTCGAGGAGGAATTGGTGGCGGACGAGGAAGACCTGACGTATTTCTTTTCAAGTCATTGTCTTGAAAATAGAACAAAAAAAGTTATGATTAAAAGATTCTTCTCAAAACATTTATCCGTACACTGATACTTTTCAATCATTTTTTTTTTTGAAATGTACCCAGCTCGAAGATTCCGACCATCGGATCCTGCAGGAAAATTCACCGTATTCTGCGAGAAAACAGCGGAAGTCACCGGAACAGGGTGGCAGTATTCCGATCAGAAAATTTTTAGATTTTTTTCGGTGTCTTCCGGCCAACTTCCTCCCGTTTTCTGCAGGAAGTTGTCCGGAATTCATCGAAAAAAAAATCCGAAAATTTTTCAGCCGAAATACTGCCACCCTGTTCCGGCGACTTCCAGTGTTTTCCTGCCGGAAACTTTCCGTACTTCTCGACATGGATAATGAATGAAACAAAAATTTATTATTACTATGGCTAGTGGCGTTATCAGATGAAGGTTCAATCTATTAGAAAGCTTTGAGCTCGTTCTAGATACATTAGCAGAGGAGCTTCGCCCCACATGCAAAGTCTCTCTACATTTTTTTGTTTATTCCATTAATTATGGTTCATTGAAATTACTTTTTTTGAAAACAAAATTCATCTGAATTACAAAACGAACATATAAGTAATACCACGATACAAATTTTCAATACTTTTACTTTACATAAGTCTATCGGATTGACTTTTTGATTCATAGAAAAAATTTATTTAAAACTTGTTTTTTTTTAAGTATTATTGCCGCAAAGTTACGAAAGATCTGTTATCTGTTGTCAAATAAAAGAATTTCATTTGTCCCTTAAAAGAATAACAAGAATAAATCGATCAAACTTTATAAGTATTATTATAATGATGGGCATTAAGAAAATTATCAGAACAAGTTAATTTAAAAGTCAATAATTACAATATTTCCGATTTTTTTTTAGCATGAAACATTAGCTTTTGCAAATTTAGTTACGGATTCAGTATGTACACGATTTTAATTATACATCATAATCATCGGATACAATTTTTACCATTTTAACTAATTAGTTCTGATAATTATCTTTTTACATTTCAGTATAGTATTATTTGAAAAATTTGTTTTGACTTCTTTTTGATATTATCTGCGGTAATAACTGAAAATTATATATATAAATTATTCGTATGAACAAACAAAAAGATTTTCACATTAATCAAAGAATCAATCGAATTAATAAAATTAAAACACATATTTTAAATTTTGATCGAATTGTAACATATGACATGTAAAATATTCCTATTATGATTGTGTTAATATATTCTCACAACTTATAAATACTCAAGTATTATTGTGCATTGATGAAATTAAAAAAAAAACATGAAATCAAAGATTGTAAAACTTGAATAAATATTTATCATCTATATGAAATACATTTTCTTGATATATAAATATTTCAGAACAAGTGTATATTTGATTGAATTGCAAATCTTAGTTCATTCGTTGAATAATATCGAAAAAGTTTCTTTATGGCAAAATTACAATACACTCCTATAATATTTCTCTTTCATTAGTACTCTTCATATATTACAAATTAGAGATTACAAAAAAAAATTAAATATATTTCATTATTAATCTATTTTTTACCTTCCAGTACTGAATCATTGGTAGAAGCTTGAATAAGATTCTCAAGACGTTGAGTTGGTGATAGATTTAAATTTTTTTGTGATGATGAACGCTTATTAATTGTTATTGAATCTTGATTTTTTCTATAAATATTTTTAGGTGTTTTTTTTCTTTTTTATAGAAGAATATTAAATCAAATCTTACTCAGGTGATTTTTTTGATTCATCTAATTTTAATTCTTGTTCAAATTTTAATTTTTTTAAACGTTCATCTTCTTGTTCACGTAAAATTTCTTGTTCTTGAATTTTTTTTCTTATTGCATATGATGCACGACGTGAAAAACGTTGTGATGCTTTACGTTCAAAATTTATACTACGACGAGTTAAATTTCCTAATGTTGCTGCTTGACATTCAGTTCTTCCACTAATTTAAATATTAAGAGAAAAACAAAAACAAAAGCAAAAAATATTAAATTTAAATTAAATATAATCTTTTACCTAAATCGAAATCTTGAACCAGTACGTGCAAAATTTGATTTAACACCTTGTTTTACTTTTGATGCTGATGTTGTACGAAAAAAAATATGATATTCCATAGCACATTTCCAAAAATGTTTACATTGTTTTTCATCATAACAACGAAATAAAAATACAAAATCACGTTGTAATGTTGGATCATTATCATCATCTTCAACAACAACTATTGTTAATTTATTACGATTAAAATCTATTCGTGTTACTTTTGACCTTTGAATAAGGTTAAAAACAAAAAAGTTTTTTTTTTTAATTGAAAGAAATTTTCTTTTTACCAAACAAATAAACCAATTTTAATTTTATTTTCAAAAACAAGAATACCAGTTGGTGTTAAACCAAGTTTATATTCTAAACCATCTTTACCCATTACTGTATGTAAATCAACACCATACATTTCTAACCATCGTGCTTTATTTAAATATTGTATTTCACAATCAGCTGGTGTTAAACTTCTATTGTAGAAAAAAAAAAAACATTTTTCATTTTTTGAAAATTTCAAATATTATTTCATACTTGTATGTTGACCATTTTTGTATAACATGTTCTTCAAATTCTTCTGTTTGTTTATCATCAGATAAAAAACGAAATTCTGATATAGTTTCAACTGAATGTTCATCACTTGTATAATCACCCAATTCAGCTAGAAAATAATAATAAAATGACACGTTCTCATTTGCATATATCAATGAATGAATTGTTCATTCATAATATGAAATCATCTATGTTTCATTTTATTTTACCTTGCATAGATAATGCAGCCAATTCAATATCTGGACCAGATGGACAATCTAATTTACCCGTTCGAATATCATCTTTAAGTTGTAATACAAATAAATATCTATACAAAAAAAAAAAAACGTTTAATTTTCTTTATTTTTTTTTTCTTCTCTTTTACTTACCTTGTTAATTCATCACGAAGATTTTGTGGATCGGATGTATAAAATTTAACACGAAATCGAAATGTATACGGTGGTCCAACTAGACAAAAAACAAATAATTTTCTTTTTTTTTTCTTTTTCTTGCTTACTCTTGCATTGTTTTTTTAACGATTTTGTCGGATCTAACCATTGCTAAAGAACAAATAAAATAATCATTAAATTCTCATTCAAATTATGATATTCAATACTCATACTTTAACATTATGTGTATCAGTAAATTGTAAACCAAAATAATCTGGTTCAACTAATTTTGTATGAGCAATAACTTTATCATAAAGACTTTTTCCAAGAGCTTTGCGCTAAAGGACAAAAAAAAACAGATCAAAATGATTGATGATGTGTTATGATTTACGTAACATTTCTGGTTGTCTCTCTCTCTCTCTCTTAGAATACAAATATTCATCACATATTTAGGTCTTTTCTTTCTTTTTTGTTATTTGATATAACATAACATTCTCATGAAATCGATTTAATTATTTTTATTCAACATACATATAAAATATAAATGTTTAAAAAAAAAAACACATATTTAATGATGCCAAAAAGAAAAAAAACGTATACACCCAGACAGAATTAATAAGGGCAGGTCATTGATAGACGAATGAAAAACAGCTGACATATCAATTATGCATGCATGTGGAAAAAAAAATGTGTCTGGACAGGTCAACTCTATCAATCATATACTTTTCGTGAGCTGATTTTTTTCACTTTCTTCTTTGAATATAACTTACATCTACTTCAAAATTGACATCATCACCATCAAGAAATACAACAGTACAAACAAGACCATTCTTAATTGGTATTGATTGTTGATGTTGTTGTTGTTTCTTCCCAGTTGAACAAATTTTTCCATTTGAATTTGTATAATGAAGATTTTCATCATTTAATGTTGTTGTTGAATTTTTTGTTTGACGACGACTGAAAAAACGTATAAATCGAGCCGCTGCCATAAATAATGTGCCATGTACAAAATCGAAATTGATATAAACACACACGCACCACACAAACACTAGAATAATAACAAATAGTAATAATCTAAAAATACAAAATAATAGAAATGGAAAATACAAGACAATTATGTGTTCATAGACAATGCTCAACGACGCGCGCAACTACATAGACCAACAACACATTGTTCATCGGTCAATCATACATAAAGAGAAGAACAGAAGAAAAAAAAAATAACGAGAGACGATTGTATGATCATTGTGATGGTAAAATTAAGAGAAAGAGAGAAAGAAGAAGAAAAAAAAAAAAAAAAAAACGGAAAAGGTGGGGACAGACAGATGCCAAGCCTAACGAGCCTCAACATATCTTATCAGAAAGAAGAAAAAAAAAAACCGAAGGCGCTCAATCGATGATAGAGAGGTTGAAATGTGTGATTGTTATTGCTATTCGTAGAGGTCAATTTATACAGATACGATATTATCTAGAAACGTATGGCTTCTTTGTATTTGATTAGCACGACAATCCTTTTCTATGTATGTCCTTGTTCAAAATAAACTTACGCTTATATATATTATATATATATGTATATCGTTATCGACGATTGAATACTAAAGATTATGTCATAGAAATACAAATACAACACACCCGTCTGTATTCTATTAAATGAGAGTATCTAACTTATTGCGCTAGGCAACCAGAAATCGATAGAGAAAGAGAACAAGATGCCCCTAACAAATATCGATCGATCAATAGATAGTGTTTACCTAAAGAAGAATAGAGAAAAAAAAAGAAAGATAAAAAAAAAAAAGTTGATTTTAATATTTAAAGCTAAAAGATAATTGATAAATTTTATAGGATTTTCTTTTGAATGATTATAAAAGATAAATGTTTATGTTTTTCAAAGAAAGAATAAATCGAACCATGTAACAAATAAACATATGAACAACAAAGAGCATGAAGACAAAACACGAACGACTTCACATGTACGTGTGTGTTTGTGTTTTTTTTTTTTTGTCATCGTTTTTCTTAATGGTCATTTGAATGGTCAAATGGTCAATCAGTATCTAGCGACATCATTTTTTGTGTACTCAAAAAGTGAGTACACTACTAAAATCGGTCAGTGTGTCCGGCCGTCCGTCCGTCCGGCCGTCCGGCCGTTTATCCGATAACTTTCGAAAGGAGGGTCAGATCGCGATGAAATTTTCTACACAGTTCAGTCTTTACAATATCTCGGTCGAGTTCGAAGATGAGAAGAATCCGTCGAGAAATGGCTGAGTTATAAAAAAATGGTGATTTTTGACCAGGCCATCCCTGAGGGGGGGTACGGGGATTTTTCCAAAAAACGTTTTTTGCTCATAATTATTCACAAAATACATAAATCGACTCAGTTTTTAACGCCGATTCTGAATTTGATATTAGTTTTGAAGCAAATTATAGTTTTTGTGTACTTAAAAAGTGAGTACACTATAGGATAGTCAGTGGCCGTCCGTCCGGTCGGATGTTTACATGATAGCTTTTGACAGCAGAGTCAGATTGCGATGAAACTTTCTACACACCTTAATCTTAACAATATCTTGATCGAATTCGAAGATGAGAAGGATCGGCCGAGGCGTTCCTGCGTTATTGCAAAAATACGCATTTTCCCCTATGGCTTCCTATCGAAAAGTCGACCCACTACCTCTTTCGTAAAGAACTTTTCCTATCATAGTCAATTAAAACCCCAACTATTATGCACCATTCGATAGAGAATTTCAAGAGCTATAGAATGATATATAAAATATTAAGAAACAACAAAACTAACTCACCTATTGGTAAGATAAATAAGCGGGAATAAGATCGGTTTGTAGTGCACGCTTCAATCGGTCCTCAAGGGGAACTCTGTCTTTCTATCATAGAGGTGATAATCGAAGGTTTTCTAGTATGGAGAACTCGAATCTGTACTCCGCTTGCCTCGAAGGTCTATTGGTTGAACATTGACCAATAGAAATTAAGTTATAGGTAAAACGGCTTTCTGAGGCTAAATTAGACAGAAGAGTTGAAATCTGAGCTTAATTCGGTCTCAAATCCTATTGATTTGTCAACCCGCAATAGAAATGAACATTTTAAATGGTAGATTTCCGAGTATAATATTGATGTTTTCGAGAGTCTAGGATAATTGATTTTATATGATTCACTTTTTCGAGTACACATAACTCTCGGATTTGAATCCGAAGTTTCCGCATTTATTACTTATAGTTTTTGTATTTCACAAGCATATATAAAAAAAATCAAGATAATTCTTTTTCTTTCTTTGAATAAGACAAACATATTCATTTAGGTAGTTTTTGTATTTATTTTTATGTATATGATCATTCTCGTAATCAAGATGTGTTTTTACAAGCAGAAAGAAAAATACATGGTTAGAAAAGTGTTTAGATAGCTACATAATAGAATGATAGATACAAGAGTTTATTTTGTCGCTGGAATTAGATATCTGTTTAAGCTTTTGGATGATTGAGATAATTTTTATAATCATCTGATGTTGTAACGTATTCAACAAATTTTTCTTGTGGAACACTAAAACAATAGAAATATAATTAATTGATTATATAAATGAATAAAAAAAAAACACCATACCGGCCACTACCATCATCAAGTTTAGTCCAATGTTGTTCCCATGTTGTTGTTACTGGTGCTGTCGAACCAGGTGGTACAATTGTTTTTGATGTTGTTTTTGTTGTATCTTCATAACTAAAAAGAAAAAAAAAGAATTCTTTCAAGAAATGAATTGATTATGAAAGACATTTACGTATAATATCGATTGAGATTGTCCAATACATGTTGACCTTGTTCACGTGTAACATAACCTAAAAAACACGTGAACAAATAGATAATAAAAAATAGAAGAAATTTTACTTACCTGGTGTTGTACTAGTTTGATCTAATATATAGTTCAATCGATCACGAGGTGTAATCGCTGTATTTGCTTGATTTTGACTTATCAATAAATATGCATTGACAAAATCTAATTTAAATATGAATAAAGAAAAGTAATCGAAATCTTGTTTTATTCTAATTACCTTCAAAACTTAATTTGCCTAAAATGAAAAATCGAATACATTATAATAAACTATTAAAGATTATCTTTTTTTTTTTTGTTTGTACCTGATCCATCAGCATTGAAAGCTTTGAAAACACGATCGGAAATTTTTTCTAAATCATGGTCACTAATAACAGCTGGAATACTTGTACCAGTTTGTCCACTTACATACAATTCTTTATATAAACGACGAAATTCTTTTTTATCCATACGATTATCTTTGCCTGTTGTTGTAATAAATTCTTGATAAAGTCGTTCAACTGTAGCTCGTGGAATACCTATATAAATTTAATTGTTAGATAAAGAATAATAATTATAATTATAATAAAAGAAAATGATTATTTACCAGTAACATTGCTGAATCGATCTAAATCCCATTGAGTAAACGTTTGTTTTGAATGTGATTTACCCATTTTAATAAATTCGAATAGAAAATAAGTTTTTAAAATGCAATGAAGAAAATTGTGAAATGTATCCTTTTCAATGTAAAACAGCCGCTTTTATAGTTCTTATAAAGGGTGAATGAGGACGATTTTCTTTTACTTATTCTTCTTCTTCTTTATTCTCGAAAGCCTTGATTACATTTCTACTGAGAGAGAACAGTAAAAAGAGAGAGAAAGACGATGTCAAACGAAGAATGAGTGCAGTGACAATTGACTTTGAAATCATCTCTGATGACCTCTGGTCGTATTCACCATATATATCTTATAGAAGAACAAAAGATATCTATACTTTTCAGTTCGATCTAGGTTTCGAAAACGACTAGAAATCATAAACAATATCATCCCTCGTCAGATGATTGTGGTTAACAAAAAAAAATATATGAATTCTCTATTTCAAGTACATTGCGTGTCGACTACTCGTGAATCACGTGTCACGTTTTGATATGTGAGTAACAGAATTAAACTGTTAGATTTTACTGAAAAACTATCAAATGAAATATGAATTAGCAGATGCAATTTTTTCACAGAAAAATTGCTTAACTTAATTAATTTTCGTCTTTTTCAATATATTTATTGATTTTTTAATTTAAGAAAGTATATTCTTAAAATATCTTCAAAAGGGAAAAATAAATATTCATCGAGCTTAACAAGGATTTTGATTGACTTGTGAATACAAACAAAAAAAAATAAATCTTTCGTAAACATTCAACATAGATAAAATTATTGAAAATATCTAAGATATTTTATTACAATTAAATGCAAGGTCAATCTAGTAACAATGAATTTTAAAACAAGAAATATGATTAATCATTAATTTAAGAAATATTGTAGAAAAATTTTTTAAATATAACAATACCGCTGAGTCATACTTTTACCCAATGCACTTTCGGTTTTTTTTTTCTATTATTATTTTTCTTTTTTTATCTGCATTACACACTCAGAGCACTTTTTCCTCCCATTCTATTCAAGAGAAATAAAAAATATTTGGTCGTAATTAGATGCTTGCTAATGAAAGTTAGATGATATACTATTCGGAGGCTCAATCGAAAGAAAACTATTTATGGATTAAAAGTAAAAGAAAGAGAAAATGGAATATGATATTGTGTTATGAAAAAAGAATTCGAGACAAATAGATGACAAATTTTGTGCATTCGTCATCTAAGTGCTAGAATTTGATCATTATATACAGAGCTTAAGCAATAGCAAATATTCTGTTATGTATCTTGAATAAATTTCTTCACGCTGCTAGTATTCTAACTGTTCCAGATAAATATAGCTGAAAATCTATGGGTTAAGTTTGAAAAAGATGAACAGTCTATAATTTGACAAGAGATGTATATCGATATTTGAGATATACTTTCTAAAGATTAAAAATGTATAATACTTGCTCATTATCAAAAGATGACTAATATGAAGTATGCTATAAATCATTATCTCTGTACAGACTTAAGTGTGAAGGCATACTCACAAACATCATAAA